AAAGATATATTTTTTTTTACTAAATTATGCTGTAAAATGTTAAACTATATACATTTTGTGTTACAAGGTCATTTTTGTCATTGTCGGTTAATTTTATTCCTTTCATTAATATATCCTAACTACCGAACAACATAGGTGGTTGTTTCATTCCTTTCAAGTAAGGTAACCAGTCATATACTGGAATGGTAATGAATCATTCAATTACCTCATTCATTCCATTACATGGTTCATTCCATTCCTTTGTCATTCTATTCCATTAAACTTAGAGAAGTTATCATTGCTTAATTAAGCGACAGAATGGGCTTAAATAGTGTTTTTCTTCCACATAACTCTCTCCTTTTCCATTAGAGAGGATTTAAGTAGTGTGTAAATATTTTAGTTTTCAAATATCATTTTCTAAAGACATCTTAAATGATGGTTTTAATACAAATCAAACGTATGTGTTAGACTGGTTTCATTTTTCTTACAAACATCAATTCTGAAACTGCAAATAAATCAGTTTATCAAATTGCTTATGTATTATTTCGTATTATAATTGTTATTATTTTCAAAACATTTACCATAGATTTTAAAGTATTTAGAGGATGTTGGAATTCTTAATGAAAAGAAAGTCAGAAAGTTTTGATTCTATAAGAGATTGATGACTACTATTTAAAACCATTCTCCCATACCATAAAAACGAACAACAAAATCTTGATTACAATGGTAAAACAAATCGATTTGCATATCAAAAATATGGAATCAGTGAATAAACTCGTGAACATAATCAAATTTGAGGAAGAAGGTGATTCAAAAAAAAAAAAAAAAAAAAGAAATTGGATTGGTGATGAAAATGTAATCGACATGCTTGTGAGGTGTGACAAAACTACCTAAATTGTTATCATTTTCATTTGAAGTAGACACCTATATTTCACTGATTTAATTGCTCATGTATCTTTTTTTAGGGTCTTTGGGTATTATATTCATAACAAATGTTTCATTTGAAGTAGACACCTATATTTCACTGATTTAATTGCTCATGTATCTTTTTTTAGGGTCTTTGGGTATTATATTCATAACAAATGTTTCCATATTAACCTCCAAAGTATTTAAACATTACATGTTCGATGAAAACTGAATATCATTCACTATTTCATCTAAGAAAAATATATTAGCAAATGATATAAGCAATATATGATCACATTGACACCTACAAGCTAAATTACTCATACTATTACAAATACCCCAAGTGTCACAGTTTAACAGCAGAAACAGCAAAATTTCAGGTCACAACAAAAATTTTAGGCATATTGTTTACAATAATATATTAATTTCTAATATAAAATACATATACCTTTTTATCAACTTCATCTAATCTGCAGATATCTTCTAATAATATATTAATTTCTAATATCTCAAAAAATAACACATTTTTCTCTTTCATAATTGGTCATAATCTAGAATCAGTGAAAAACATAGACTTCCCCTAACGTCATCTAATTGGGGCCAAATAAATAGTCGTAATCTTAACCCTATTGACAATTTTATTGCATTTATGCTGTGTCTAGAAAAAAAAGACATAATTACCCTTTCCTGATCTTGATTTTTTCCTGTTTGGCCTTAATATTTTACCTAGAAATCTCCCAAAAAGATTAAATCTTGATAATGCAACATGTATGCATTAAATAATCAATAATTGTATCATTAATTTCATGAGTATGTGAATGTAATTTACATAAGGATATGATTTTTCGGAAAAGCAATGGAAACTAAATTCAAATTAGATTGATATAGGATTTTATACATAAAGAAAGTTGGAAATCTTTTATCATAAATTTCAATAAATATATGAAATTATAAAGTTAAGAAGATATAACTGTTGGGAAAATAAATCAAAAGTGAACTGATATGATACCTCAAATGATCATAATCCGATAGTGTATCATTTTTTTCAAGAGCATATGAACATAAAATTATTAATAATATCTATTTCTTGGGAAACTCAGCGGAGAAGGGTTGGGAACAAAGATGATAAGAGAAATTTTCAAGAAATATAATCAAAAGTGCTAGGAATTTTCGAAGTAAAAATTTACTTAAAGGAGCATGTCGATGAATTATATTTAGAAAGGAAAAAAAGAAGAGGGACATACTTTTAAGGCCTTTAAAGAAGGAACACTAACACCTTTTGAAGTCTGTAAAGGCTAAAGAAAGAGCACCAACAACACTAGATTATGAGTATCCGAATGATTCTCCATTGTTCTATATAATTAATGACTTATATTTAACTTTTTTACAAATTTGCCCTGAGTATGTTTTCCTTTTGTTTGCTGAAGCGTGTAGTCATTTTCTCAAATACTTATTAAGCACTTGAGCATCACTTAAGTGGACACCACTTTATCAGAACAACAGGGATAAAAAAGACTTATGAGATACTATGTCCATGGCACAAAAGGCTCTTGTAATGTTGGACTGCATATATAGTTCAATAAAATTTTCAATTCTATGTGAAATATACTAAATAGCACTAAAAATGACAAGATAATCTTGTGGACAAACATCATTCTAAATAACATCTTGTAATAGATGGTTATGGACGAATAATTTAGGTTGGAATTTCACCAAAAAGTGAAGCATTGCAATTTGCATCTTATATATGACTTGAGGAATTGTTCAATTTGTATGGCTGGGGACATATGAAGTTATGAATTGAAAATAACTACATTTGTAAACGTTATTTTACAGCCAAAATCTAGTTCCAGCTTCATATATCAGAATGATATTTTCTTTAATTGTTCAAACGACGTAGGGAATTAAAAATTCATACAACTACTTCAACTGAAGAAACTGAGATGAGCCGTTGATGTTGGTTTTAACGCACGAAACACTTACTCTTCTGAATTCACTCACCTCAAATAGAAAAAAGAAAAGTGACCTTAACCCATCAATTTCGACGTAAAATAAAAATCCAGATAGAGGGAGATGGTACCAAAGTTGGTTGAGGGGAAGAGTGATGAGAAGGTTAAATTGAGGCTCTCCAAGCTAGAGCAAAGCTCCCCAGAGCTCCATTGATTTTAGAAGAGTAATATGTGTGAAAATTTTGTGGGGTCGAGTGGGAAGATGCAGGGTTTTTTTTTGCTGCTGGAGCTGGTGGTCACGGTTGACAACAATGGTTGATTGGCCCATCGTGTTTGCATTCGAGCCACATTAAATGCATTTCTTTTATACATGATATCACCAAGCAAACACCTTGGATTTAGGGAAGAAATCGTGTCAAGAGAATGGAGTAGAAGAAGAGTATGCAAATTTACCCTCGAACCGTTAAGCGTTACAGGGAGGATTTCAGTACACCAACATGAGATTGTGGGTCATTTAATGGAAATTGGAAGTTGCACGTTGCATTTAGTTACGGAAAAACAGTTTCATTTTCCGTTTTCCTTTTCCCCTTTCAGTTTTCGTTGTTTGTTTTCAGTTTTCATTGGAAAATTTAGAAAACGCATTTTGTTAAAACTTATTCATTTTTCATTTTCAGTTTTAGAAAATTAGAAAACGTGTTTAGATGTGTATATTTCCAACGGTTTTCACTTTTAGAAAACGGTAGCTGTGGTAGGGTGGGAGTGGGGGCAGCGACGGGGGGCAGTGGTGGTCTCGATGATGGAGACGGTGGTGGTGATGGAGGCAGTAATGGGGTGGCAGCGGTGGTAGTGACGGCGGAAATTGTGGCAGTGGTGGTGATGGCGGCGACGCTGGTGCTGCTGGTGATGGGGTAGTGGTGGTGGTGATGGTAGGTCGGTGATTGTGGTTGTGGTGTTGGGTGGGTGTGTGTGTAGGTGTGTGTATTTATGGGTGTGGAGGTGGGGGTGGGTGTGTGTATGTGTGTTTGTATGGGTGAGGATGGGGATGGGTGTGTGTGTGTGTGTGTTTGTTGGGACGGGCTTGGGAGTGGGTGTGTGTATATCTGTGTTTGTGTTTGTGGGGGTGGGCATAGGAGTGGGTGTGTGTGTGTGTGGGTATGTGTGTTTGTGGAGTTGGGCATAGGAGTGGGAGTGGGTGGATGTGGGTAGGTAGGAGTGTGGTGAGTTAGGGTGTTAATGTGGGGGTAGGTAGAGGTGAGAGTGGGGGTGTAGTTATATCTTTGAAAAAAATTAGGAATTAGAAAAATATGGAAAACAATGATCACCATGGGTTATAATCTAGTTATATAATGTTTTTAAGTTAACATAATAATTGTAGTATATATTATTTAGTAGTCATTTATTATGAAAAATATATTTTTTTACTCAATTATGATGTAAAATATATAAACTAAATACATTTTGTGTTCCTCTCATTTTCGGTTAATTCTATTCCATTCAATAGTATTTCCTAGCTACCAAAAAACATATTTTTCTTACAAACAGCAATGCTGAAACTTCAAATAAATCAATTTATCAAATTGCTTATGTATTATTTTGTAATCATAATTGTTATTGTTTTCAAAACATTTACCATATTATAAAGAATTCAAAGGAAGTTGGAATGCTTACGGTAAAGAGAGTTGAAAAGGATTATTGATGATGACTATTTGAACCCATTCTCCAAGACCGTGAAAACGAACAACAAAATCTTGATTCCAATGGAATAACAAATCGATTAGAGTATCGAAAATAAGGAATAAGTGAATGAGCTTCTAAACAGAATCAAACTTGAGGAAGAAGGTAAAGTAAAAAAAATGGGAATTGGATTGGGAAGAAAATGAGGCTGATTTTTTGCTTGAACATCAACAATTGATTAATCAGATGAAAGTGGAGTTAAAAAATGCAAGAACAGCATAAACAACAAAATTTCATGTCACAAACCTTACCCATTAGGCCAACCTGTTGAGGTTACTAAACATATTAATCAACTCCCAACAAAAATTTTACGCATATTGTTTACAATATTATATTAACATCTAATAAAAAATACATATACCTTTTTATCAACTTCATCTAATCTGTAGATATGTTACTTAATTGTCCACTCCAAAAGTCATTTGTTATATGCTAGACATCATCTTCAACCTTAATATTGCGATCAGACTGACCTATCAAAACTAGAGTTTCTATGTAGGAATGCACAAAGAATGTTCCAGGTTTTCCATACATCCCAAGATATTTGAAGCATTCAATGTTGGGCTCATACACCATAAGTGCACCCTGTTCATAACACATATGAGCATTTTCCACTTCCACTATAGGTTTACCATTCTTCCTAAATCCAAGTGTTGTTATTGACATTGACCAATATTGTGGTGCCTCAATAGTAAATCTCTTTGTAAATGATTTCTCAACACCATTCTCTATCATCCGTACACTACAAGCACGTTTCTGATAGCTATCATATTCAAGCATGACAAGAGACTCCCTTACCATAGAAATACACAACTGTTTTGGAGAGTGGCGACTTAAACTATCAGGGAGTTCTACCTCTCCAAAACTCTAATTAGTTATGTCAAATGACATTATAAAATTATGATTCGGTAATTCATAGGGTCAAAATCACACCAATAAATAAACCTATCAACAACAACCTGAGGCCAAAAGATACGAAATGGTTTACTAGGAAGATTGTTAAAGAGATTTCTCCAATTGCCTGAGCTCACAGTGTAAACATTAGCTTCACAATGGTAGCTAGTTTTGTGAAGTTGTGTGATCTCTACTATCTTAGGGTCACTAGTCACAGGGAAACCCCAAAACAAAGATTAGTTTTAGGATTCAGATTAAACTTGTTAGGCATAGGAACAATGATTGACTTTCTAATCGAAGGATTCCAAAGAACAACCATCTCCGTGTAAGTCCCTAATCTGCCCGTGTATCAATCAGATCCATTTGATGGTGCGGAATCCCAATCAAACGGATGATGTCAGATAAAATAGAAGAGAAGGAGAAGAAGAATAATATGAATCTTGAATGTATTGATAATATGAATTAAGTTCCTTACACAAGATTCATCCACACAAACGCTCCTTTCTCTCTGGCCGTAAACTTCTTAGGGTTCATCAATCTATTCCTCACACCCTAATACCTATATTTATACTTGGAGAATATGGGCTTGGTGGACATGGGCCGTAAATGGGTTTACGGCTGTAAACACCCATTGGGCCGTAAACCTGACCGTAAACTCATAAACATTACAGAAAAATACAATATCCTAGAAAAGCAAAGTATAAACCATATTTTTGACCCAACAATCTCCCCCTTGGTTTATATCTTTCTTTTCTTAATTGACCCAACAAGCTCCCCCTAAAAAGTAGTTGGCTTTTCTTGTTAATCTTCACTGAGAGCTTGGGTTCAACATTAATCTTCAAATTCTTCACGACTTCAAGATGAACTTGATGAATCTTCAATAAATGACTTCATCTTGAGCACTTGAGCTTTTCTGCAGAATTTGACATTGAACGCCCATTGGGTGAGGAGGCTTCTTGTACTGACTCTTGAAAATTGGTGCTTTCAGCATGAGAATCTTTAGAGAGAACATCAGAGAGAACTGAACTTCTAGATCACTTCAGGAGGTACAAAGATAGCAACAGACTGATTGAGGAGGCTTCAATGCAATCCGTCACATAATCTTCAATTTCTGCTTCACCTTGCTTCTAGGGTTAAAGGATTGAATGTCGAAAGAATAATCTTCATTTCTTGCTCCTTCGAATGCGAATTCTTCGATGCTCACGGACAAGGCTTTGGCTCAGAAATCTTCAACACAAACTCCATGAGTTTCATCTTCACTTGAAATCACTTTTCAAGATAAAACAAAACTAAAAGAAAACTTAGCACACAAATTAAAACATAAACAAAAATATTTTTGGATTTTTCATATTTTCTGAAAAAGAAATAAAACAAAAATAACCCTATTTTTGGATTTTTAATTTTTTTGATTGTTTTTTGATTTTTGAATTTTTCTGATTTTTTTATTATTATTTTTAATTTTTAATTCTCCCCTAATTTTTAAATTAGAAGAAACTATGACAAATTTAACAAAAATAAAAATGATATCTAACTTTAAGAGTGATTTGGGATCAAAGTTTTTAGACAGCCTTTATCCACTTGTCGGTACCTTCCATATTCACATCTTTGTCTGGTCGATCGTCGGTATTGTGGTCCACTTAAACACGAAAAATTATGATAGATTTAGGACATACTATTTGTTACAAGACAGGGTGTACTTAAAATCCTAAAATTTATATTTGATCCTGATTCCTTAGATACTATATCTTAAGGTCCATTCATCTGACGACGACCAGGGATATTGTTGTCCATCTAAATTGAGCAACGAGATCTATAGACAATCTGTATTAGTTCATTAAGTGTACTGGAACATGTTTCCCGCTTCCTGATATGCCCCAGCCATCAAGAACATCCAGATTACTCCTTACATAGGGTGAGCAGACAACCATTCAGAGAGAGGATAGATTCAGAATTCTATTACTTATTACTTCAGAGGGGTTGAGAAGAAGAAGGTTGCATATGCTGTATACCAGGTCGGATTAGAAGTCACACAATGGAGACAACATATGGCTAACAGATAAGAAGTATTTCACATATATAACCTGCAGAGAAATAGAGTTGCATATGTTGTGTACCAGGTCGGATTGGAAGTCACGCCAAGGAGACAACATATGACTAACAGATAGAAAGAAAGAAAATGATTTTCTACAAATCTAATTTATCGGAATTTACCAGTCGCCCCATCCAACCAGAATTAAGGATAAAATCCGCACATCGAGGAAAAGTTAAACCACGGTTCCAAGTACGGGTTCATTTAATGTGACGAGTGGATTCCCATATATATCTCCCTACTCAACCTATCCGAGCGTCGTATTGTCAGGCTGAACGTATCTAACTAGGTCAAGAATTGTCAAGTCTATAAATTTCCTAAGTTCAACTCTGCCTAGTCAAGTTCATTTAAAATCTTTCGTGCCTACCAACGCATCAAACCAGAGCAAAGACCCTTCAACTTTGGGTACGTTACGCAGACTCAGGTTGCCTATTATCACTTGATAATATCACTTCCCAAAAAATCTCCCTCAAGCACACTTCATAACCAACATATTTTTGATTTTCTGATTTTTTTTATGTTTTTGTTTTGTTTTTTTTTTATTATTAACTTTTTGTTGTTTTGTTTTTATTTCTCCCCCTAAATTTGTGCATAGGAGAGAAACGAAAATAAATGCGCAAATTTAAACTATCCTAAAACAAAAATTTGTCTTTAAAGCGAATCAGCTTAAGAAAAACTCAGGAGTATAAAGAAGAAAATGCAAAAACGTAATTCACCGATTGAATCTGCATTCAGAAGGTCTGAGAACAACACACATAATCTCAGAACAGATCCGAAGATTCTTCATGTCATTAAGCACAAACCCCCATGTGATCCCTTCTTTTATTTCTTTTTCGCAAAAGGACACATACTCTCAAACAAAGGTCTGAATGTTGTAAAGTTGAGAGATGTCCCCTATCATGTGCCTGGAACAGCCACTACCAACAAACCGAAGTTTGATGATATGCCTCCATAGCTGCTCCGACACAGAGCGGGATTAGTTGCTCTTTGGAACCCAGTCCATTTTAAAACTGGGTCGACCTTTGTCATCCTTGCACGTTACTCTCTCCCATGACTTGTCATGTTTATCACAAACAGAAGACATAGAAATATTAGAATCCTTAGTTGATTTGGGAGATTGAGCCTTCGGAACCCATTTGTAGTTGGGTTTAACCCATTTCTTTTTCGATCGGATGGGTGGCTCAGTACTTGATTTGGAACTTGAAGTCGGTTGCCTAGATGACTTTGACCTAACCGATCTTGGCTTCACAGGAGCATCTCTTGAACTAGACTTCTGGGCCAACATTCCCTTCTTGACTGTGGGATTTAGATTCTTGTCCTTTGGAGTTTGATTCTTGGCCTTCTGCGCGTTCCAGTCATCATGGTCTGAACGTGACCTTGAGGGGTTTCTTTTGGAGTATTTCCCTCTTGGCACGTTCTGCCAGCCTTGTGCATAGTAAGGAACGTATGTGTGATTTGGACAATTTTTGGCAATGTGTCTAGGTGTTCCACAATGAAAACAAGTCTTTTTCTTCACTGTGAAGTTATTTCTTCTTGCCCCTGGTGGCGTATCTTTGTCTTGTCTCTTGTTGTTCCCACATGCACACTTGCCACAAGAACTCTGTTGCGTTGGAATTGGTGGCCTATATTTCTCAACGGCAGGTTGATTAGAAGCAGTTGAGTTCGAAGCAACAGATTTAGAGTTCAAGGAGATGTTGGTTTGTTCAATGGTGCTCTCCTTGTTCTCATCTTTTGCTACTTTACCTGCACATGAAGCAGCAACATTAGTATCTTCAATATTAATAACTCCTCCTGACATAAATCCAGCTCGTTTTCCATATCGAAGATGTGGCTCCCTATCAGTTTCGTCCTGTGTCATATGGATGGATGTGTAGTTATGCTTTTAAGGAGGAGGTACACTATCATACCCTAGACCCTTGTTTTGATTATCTTTGAATTTTAATTGGGTTTCATATAAGGACTCGACTGTCTGACTTGACGCAGTATAATTTTTGAAACTGACATCTGTTTTTCCACACTTATTTTTTAAAGCGTCAAGTTCTTCAGTTACAGCAGCAAATTGTCTCTTAATATAATCATAATTTTCACCCTTGTTGCTATACTCTTCCTGAAGTTTCCTAAAGTCCTTGGTTTTTGCTTGTAATTCAGCCTTCAGGGGTTTCTGTCGTTTCCTGAGTTGATATCCTTCATATCTCAGGTCCTCAACTTCTGTTTTTAATAAATCAATTTGTTACCGAAGAAATTTAATCGTATCTTCACTAGATAGTGTACATGAAACTTCACATGATTGAGAACCTGAAACTTCATTGACCGAGATGTTTGTAGAACACATTGTATTTCCACACTTCAAAGCATCAAGTTCTTCAATTACATCAGCAAGACTAAGACGATTGAGATCTTTTGTCTTCTTGATGAGAGCCACGTCCATATCCCACGATTTTGGAAGTGAATTCAATATCTTTTTGTTTATCTCAGATTTAGACAAGAAGATCCCAGCTAGAAGATCCCAACTATATTCATCTCGGTAATAAGTGTAGTAAATCGCTGCAACGGAATTTCGAGGGTTTCTCCAGGGATATAATCGAAAATGTTGAAATTTTGTCTTAACATATCCTGACGACTCTCTTTCATGTTTCAACTCCCTCGTAGACCTTAAAATCAATTAAAAAGCACAACTAGAAACCAAAATCAAACTTAAAAGTCAAATTTAAAAAAGTTAAACTCAAAAATCAAACTCAAAAGTCAAACCGAAAAGTTAAATTTGAAAATTTAAAAGTTAAACGAAAAAGTTAAAGTTTAAAGTCAAAGGTCAAACTTGAAAGTCAAAGTCAAAATTTAAGGTCAAAAGTTAAAAATAAATAAATATATTTTTTTATTATTTTATTATTATTATTTATTTTTTAATTAATTTTTTTTTTTATATATTTTGGATGAAAAAGGAATTTAAAAATAAAAGAAATTTAGTTTTGGGGTTAAAAGTGTCAAAAAAAACAAAACTTGCTGCGACAGGAGTGGTTATAGTAAAAAAAAAAAACGGATGCTTGAATAATAGATAGCTTGGCTCAGTTGGTAAGACGCATGGATGTTGAATAATTCACGTATTATTTTTGATGCGAGGCGAGGAAAGTGCTTGCGAGGACGAGGTGCTATCTACGAGGCCGTAAACCATCGAGGCTGAGCCGCAAGCTCGGACCGTGAACCTCGGGCCACAAGCTCGGGAACCCTAGCCACCGGCCATGAACTATTTCCGGCAGTAAGCTCCGGCCGTGAACTCCGAAACCCTAGCCGCCGGCCGCAAACTCCGATCAAAAACACCGATTTTTCGACTTTGAAGCTCCAAAACTCTATCAAAAACCCTTTTTTATGAAAAACACGAAGAACAAACCCCTCTTATTTTTGCGAGATCTATCCAAAACTGCAAAAATATTTTGAAAATAAGATCAAATAATGCCCCAAATCTAACAAAATTGACTGATACAACTTGACTCTGATACCAATTGTAAGTCCCTAATTTGCCCGTGTATCAATCAGATCCATTTGATGGTGCGGATTCCCAATCAAACGGATGATGTCAGATAAAATAGAAGAGAAGGAGAAGAAGAATAATATGAATCTTGAATGTATTGATAATATGAATTAAGTTCCTTACACAAGATTCATCCACACAAACGTTCCTTTCTCTCTGGCCGTAAACTCCTTAGGGTTCATCAATCTATTCCTCACACCCTAATACCTATATTTATACTTGGAGAATATGGGCTTGGTGGACATGGGCCGTAAATGGGTTTACGGCCGTAAACACCCATTGGGCCGTAAACCTGACCGTAAACTCATAAACATTACAGAAAAATACAATATCCTAGAAAAGCAAAGTATAAACCATATTTTTGACCTAACACTCCGTTCCTAAGTTATAACCATGGAAACAAAATATCCCAAAAGAACTACCGACTATATTTGCATTTTTGAGTAGTTTAATGGAACGAGGAAGGGTATGAACAAACCTCTGGTGAGGGAAAATGTCATCATCTACGAAAGAAAGATACTTTCCAACAGTGTCAGATTCCTTATCTTCATACCTTATAAGGAGATGTTGCGACTCAGTAATGCTGTGAGCAGCGATAAAATTAGAGTTGTTAATCAAAGATTTCCAGGTTTTCGAGACGGCTCTGAACTGAAGCAATGATACGATAGGAAGCCTTTTGATGATCAGCTCTTGGATATGGAAAGGAATTTCGTCGGACATTTTGATTTTGGATACAGCTGCGTATGAAATTCTAGGGTTTTGCAATCAGATGGAGGAAGGGGGGATTTGGCATTAGACGATATCAAAAGCAAATTGAGTAGTTCGATAGATTGACGTAAGATGCACACCACTACTAGCGGTCGCAACGGTTGAACCGGTAACCAACCACGTAGCTGATTCAACTAAAAAACCGGTTTTTAAAACATTGCTTCCTAATGTTTGTAACTCATGTGGGGACCATCATATTCATCCCCCGGATCAAGTTTCCTTTTTAGGCCTAATATGTTTCTCTTTTCTTCTCTTAATACGAGCTCATATGTAAATAATATCTCTCAAATCTAGCAATTATCTAAATCAAATCTCAACCCCTTTGATGATTGCTCTGCATTTAACTTTGAAGAATCGAGGGTTAAGAGAAGAAAATTAGCATGATCTTCTCCTCCAAGATTTTCACCTTACGGCAACGTATCCCGAAATAAGAATTCAGTTGCCGCTAGTCCTAACCCTCCACCTGTGATCAGCGTTCCTATCGATCATCTACCCTCAATCAGCCTTAAAACAACCATGGTTGAATCTGGTTCCCCATGCATTTCTTCATCTGATTTATCCGCATCTATCGAAATGATGAACATTTCTAAACTTGGCTATTATATTGGTTTTCAGATCGGTGTTGGAAACCATATACTTTTTGAATTAGTGAATGGTGAAAATGGAGATATTCCCATTTCATACACACACACAAAAAAAAAAACTCTCCCTGAATATTTGTGGTATCAGGGAAACTCATTTGGTACAATGGGTGAATAGATTAACAAGTATCTCACAAAATCATTTTTCTATGTCTTCAAGAAACTCGGGACTTAGACTCGTCCTTTATTGGTATTTGTGTATGTTGGTGAGATTTATGAAAGAATGGATAATATGATGGGTGAAATCGAAGACATAATGCTCGAAAGTACTTATGTCACCTATTACCCACAAGTAGAGAAAATAGTTTTAACTAGGTGGGAGAAGATGAATATCCAACTACATTGTTTGGGGTTTGCATTAAACCCACGATTTTATGATATGCAATATCTTTAAAAAATGGCACCTTGTGGTATGCAAAGGAAACCACCAAATCTAGACAAAGAGGTTATGCAAGGTGTCATGGAATCCTTCAATAGATTTTCTAAAAATGAAGAGGAAGGACAATTGTTACGAGATCAATTCATAGCATTCTTTATGAAGAAAGGTATCTGCTCTATGGCGGAAGCACAAATGGATGCTTTAATAATGGATCCAGATTGATGGTCAACCTATGGAGCTGAAACCCGAATCTGGACATGGTGGCAAAGAAGGTATTTTCACAACCTATTAGTAGCTCGTCCACAGAAAGGAAGTGGAGTACGTATTGTTATATTCATAATGTGAAAAGAAACCAGTCGAATGAAAAAAGAGCCGATAAAGTGGTTTACCTTCACTCCAACATTCGATTTCTATCTTGTTTTCACGAATCATACAAATCCAGTCCACACAAAAAGTGGGAGGTCAATCTTGAAAGCACTTATATTGAAAGTTTAAGTTCACGGTTAGATGACATGGTTTGGGAGAATTTAGATGAAGAAAATGTGGAGAATGGACAAGGAAATAGGCGGTGGGTTGATCGACATGTTAGGGACCAAATGTTCCTTCCTTTTGTTTGGAATTGAATGATTTGTGTCTGTTTTTGAGTTATTTGTTTCTGTCTTTTGATGTCTAACATGTAACTTTTCATGTTAAATGTTTATATTTAATGAATCATGTTTGTTTTTGGTATGTTGCTTTTAACTGTTTATAATTTGTTGTAGTTAACTGTTTATAAATTACAAATCTACATTCTGTTAACTGTTTATCCATTTTTTTGCAACATGATTTTGCATTCTATTAACTGGTAATATGCATTGATATTGAATACAAATCAAATATTGATATTATATCGGATTTTGTAATTTGAAAACACGTACATTGAATCCGAAAAACTGGTACATCGTACCTGTTAGAAAATTAATTTCATTAATTTCCAAAAATGGATTTTCTCCATTTTGAGCACAAATTTAATACTCTAAATATAATCAAAACAAATTATTGGTTATATATTTGTGTTCTCCTCCGTGATATCTACGTTCCGATATATTATACGTCCAAAACGGATTTAAAATGATTGAGAAATTGCTTGTCAAAGTAATGCAATTGAAGAGAAGATAAAGAAGTCAAGTAGGTTTTTAAAACTCATCCCACATTGGTGGACGAAGGAAAAGAAAATTGATTTATAACTACAATGTAACAGACACATAAGGCATCCTCCCTAGATCCTTAGTTCTAACTAGCATGCAATTCTCATAAAGCTGATACACATATAATAGGTACATAAGGCATCCTTCCTAAATCCTTAGTCCTATTCTAGCATGCTCTTCTACTGAAACTGAAACTGATATTCATAACATAAACTTGTATGGGTAACTTGGGAGTACTTACTTGAGTTGACTGATCGCATGCACCACACCCTTTTTCCTTTATAAAAACTCTTCTTCTTTCTAAGTTCTTTTTCGAAAATCTTTTTCAAAAGCATTTTTTCTTTTGAAAATCTTTACCGTTTCCTTAGTTTGAGTTCAGACACACCTGGAAGTGTATCCGAATCCCTCAAAGTAAGGCTCTGATACCAACTTATAACATCCCAAAAACACAGTCTGAAAATTGCGTTTAATTTAATAATAAAAACCATAGTCGATAAACCTCATATAAAAATCATAAGCAATGTGTCTCAAAATATTATAACAACTGTCAAATATATCAGAGTATAAACATCCCAGGCTGAACAAATGGTGTGTGCACTGCAATCTTCCTGAGCTCCTCTTTAGAAAAACAGAGTACCTGAAACCAAAAACTGAAACCGTAAGCAGAAAGCTTAGTGAGCTCCCCCAAACTACCACATACCATACAGCATATAAAGCACATAATAGGCCTTGCCCACTGCATCGGGCTGAGGTCCGGACTAACTGGGACCTTGTCCCTTGCATCGGACCGAAGTCCGGAGACTGACTGGGACCTTGTCCCCTGCATCGGACCGAAGTCCGGACTAACCGGGGCCTTGCCCCCTGCATCGGACCGAAGTCCGGAAAGTAACTGAACATAGCATAGCATAAACATATAGCATAAACATATCAACTAGCATGAACATATATACTGCATACTGCATCGGGCCGTAGCTCGGAACACATAACACATAAAACCTGTCTGAGCCACGAAAGCATCAAACATACTAACTACTACATCGGACCGAAGTCCAAAAACTACTACTAACTAAACGGGTCGGCATTGTGGCCTTAGACCAGTTCCCACTGGAAGGAAACTCACCTCGTGATGCTGACTGCTGAACTCCAGAATGAGAAATCCCTGACTGCTGCTCCGGTTGCTTCCCAGCTATTATGGGAAATAAAATACTAAATCAGAATAGGGATTCCTCTATGGGTAAAATGACCATTTTACCCCTTATATGGTGTGGGACACAAACATGGCCCAAATCCTTAATTCCTTCTAAGTCCATCTATGGCCCCACTATAGGCCCATTAATGGCTCAATTTTCTATTTTGGGCCTTGAACCCTTTTATTAGGCCTCACTCAAGACCAATACAAAAACCTTGGTCCTTAGCAGCTGAAGAATGATGGGCCATAAAGGCCTAAGGACCCTAAGCCTAAAACCCGGCCCACACCAAGGCCCAACACTCGAGGCCCAAACTGGCAGCGTACGATGGGCGTACACCAAGGTACGCTGAGCGTACCGGCTGCTGGCTTGTACCCGACACATACATCCTTGTACGCCCAGCGTACAACTCTGTTAAGCCAACATCTCATTAAGTGCTTAATAATCCGATCTAGAAGCTACAAATCCAGATCCTAAGCTTATTCCATGACTTAAGTCATAAAGATGCTTACTTGATGGCTTACAAGTCTCATAAAGGCTCAAACTTCCACAAATAACATTCTACTTCCATAAAACTAATTGGATCTCATGCATGGTTCCATATAAGACACAAAGATCGAAACTTTACTACTATGGGGACTCTTGAGCTTCAAGGATAGCAATCCCATACTCCAAAAACGAAGTTGCAATATAAAGGTTCTTCCTTTGGACCTAAAAGGTCCAAACTTCCAAAAACTCATAGATCTAAACTTACAAGAGGAAAGTTGGAAGCTTTATACCTCTTTTGAATGCCAAATGAAGGAATGATCGTAGATCTATGAGCTCAAGCTGCTCAAGTTCTTCTTGTTCCACTTCTCTTCTTCTCCTTCTTCACAAAATTAGCTCAAAGATCAAACACACACAAACAAGGAGCAAAGGGGATGAGCTAGGGTTTCTTTGGAGTGAATGATAAGTGAGGAGGCTAAATGGGAGGCTATAATGGGGTTTAAATACGCCTCAACCCCTAAAATTAGGGTTTGCCACTTGGTCGCGTATGCTGGGCGTACCATAAGGTACGCTGCGCGTACGCTCAGCCTCCCCGCACTTCATTTAATCAGTACGCCCATCATACAAGGGGGGGGGGGGGTAGGCCCTGCGTATGGATTATGGGCTGTTTACACTTCGGCCCCAAAAGAGGTCTACTCACAATAACAATTAAAATATAGCCCACTAAATAAACTGAAGAATTAAATGAAGTTATACCTCGGAAACGATCGTTACAAATCTCCCCCAGTTGAATTAGACTTCGTCCTTGGAGTCTGCTGCTACTGAATCTGAAAATAACTCTGGGTAATGCTCCTAGATCTCCTCCTCTGATTCCCATGTCCACTCTGAACCCTTCCGGTGCTGCCACTGCACCTTCACTAACTGAATTACCTTGTTCCTCAAGGTCTTTGTCTTTCGGTCCAGAATCGCGACTGGCCTCTCAATATAATTCAGGTTGCTATCAACCTGAATGCCCTCTAAGGGAACAACTGCTGAATCATCCACCAAACACTTCCTCAACTAGGAAACATGG